GACAGCTCAGTATAATTTAGCTAACTGAGCCATTTACTTAGAGCAGCCAATAACACTTTTCTGCTGGAGGGACTGTAATGACATTAATAAAGGATGGCAGAGAAAGAAAATTAAACACTTAATGGAATTGTTTATTTTCAAGTACAGCCACGATTGACGGTCAAAAAGCATCTTCATTTTTTTCTCTTTAAGTCTTGTGACCCACTTTTCTTGATTTGTTTGTCCTTCCCCCCTTTGTTTTTGGACTGAGGTGAATTGTAAATTCTGTGTGTGCGCGCGTGTGTGTGTACCTTTATTCTCCCGAGAATCCGAGCTGCAATCCTTGCTTGAAGAAAGGATGAGGATTAGGTGGGGCGTGAAGTGATGAGAGTTGTAGTTTTGAGTTAGGGAGGAAAGGTCTGTGTGTATAGCATTTTATTTGATTTTAGACCTGTTTGGTCCAAAAGATGCTTTATGCTTAAAATAAACAGCACACAGTCCTCATACATAATATTTAAATGTGGCAGGGCATAATCATCTTAATGACAGCACTTTATCAGATATATGTTGGAAAGAAACATTCATAAATGTGTTCAGAATTATTAAAATAGGGAGCTGAAAAGCTGCTGAACTACAACAAAAAATGCAGCATGCATATTAACTAATTGGAACAGCTTCTTTTCACAATATTATAACATTCAGGTTGTGTTTGAACTGTTTAAATTTACACATCACTCAAACAGAGAGGAAGGTTATTAATAGTACTAATTACTAATAAAGTCATGTTTTTGGCAGTCTGATGAATAGCCAATATTATAGTCTTTTTAATTCTGTTTTGGCCTCCATCCTCCAAAGGAAAACGTCTGGCTCTGTCATCTAGATGCTCGATTATGTTCACCAAATAGAGTCTTCCTTTTGGTGCAGAATAGGTAGCACACAGGAAATCAAAAAAGAAATTAATAAATAAAGGAGGGTTAATGAGGCTGTAAGAGCCTTGAACTTGTCATCACAAAAGCGGGATAAACATGGAACATACTAAAACTCTGGGCAGGCTGGCAAACCTCTGTAATCTATACAAGTGCCACCTTTCACATTACACTCTAAATGAGCCATTGTGCAAATGGAACTATTGATTAGCGCAGCTCTGAGTAAACATTGGTCCAAATCTATGTCTGTGAAATCTGCAAACTATTTTTTTTATGTCTAAAGACAACACCGTTCGCACCAAGGGAGACAGCATTTAATGAGCAAATGTGTGCATTTTTTTTTTCATTTTTATTTTTTATTTCAATGTCATAAAACTGAACCTCAATTGCGTGCCATTTTTGTGGGTAATTTAAAGGATTATGGGAAATTCTTCAGGTGCCAGCGCTAAGAAAGAGCACCCTCTTTGATCTGCTTCATCAGCCTGTGAATACGATAAAGCAACCAAAAATGATTCATTTATTCAGGAACTGTATGCTGTGGCTTTGTGTGGTTCTTAATGAGTAATCTTTCAGGTTCTGTAGGAATCTTTAATAAGTGCCATTTAATGAATGAAACACATTGTGTGGCAAGTCATTAACTTTGAAAGCAACAGTGATTGCTTTTGAAGGATTAGGGCACTTTTCTTTGCATTTAAATGTGTCGCGTTAATTTTTTTCTGGAATTATCATCTTTGTAGTCAGGAGATAAAGCTGAGATTAGAAAAATGCTGTTAATGAAAAGATTTCTCCATACACTTTTTAAGAATTTGTGCTTGTGTTTAATGCTGTTGTGGTGATTAAAGTATACACCGCACAGCGGCACTAATCGCACGAGCCAGTCATTGGATGTCAGTGTTGACACATCTCTGATTTTTCTGATACAGATCAATCATGACAGGGGGACAGACAGATAATGCCTCCCCTGGCAGCAAAAATGTCCCCTGGTATGTGTTTGCTTTTCTGACAGCATCTTTACATTATCCTCATCATGCTTCAGACCCCTAAACTATTTGGAGTGACGGCACATTTGAGGGCACAAAGGAGTCACAAATCATTGCCGGTGTGTAAACAAGGGACCAGTCATTATGGACAATTACTCCATGTCAAAGCATTCTCATAGTAAAGACTAGATGATTGATGTGATCAGTCTTTTCCAGTCTGAATTCAGCATCTATTTCAGCACGACTGGAGTCTTTTTACCAACTAACTTCAAAGCTGAAATCATTTTGAGGTTGACGTCATAGTTTGTAAGGTGGTGTATAAGTGCTTTTTATGCTTTCATGTTAAAAACACAAGCAATGGATACGAGACAATTAAAGCTTTGCATCAGAGAAAGGTTCTGAGTAAATGAATCAAAATGAACATGAATGAGAAAAAAAGGCATCAGAGATAAGCCAATTTTTGATCTGTTACTTGAAGAGTAGGTGAAGGAGTACATAACATACTGTTACTGTTGGATGCTAAACTTTAAGCAACTGGATAAACAATTGATATGCTTTACAAAGAAGCCAAATCAATAAATGACTGTTATAGATAGCTAGATGAATAAATGTCCAGTACTGTGCTAAAGTTTTTTTTTTTTTTTATGATCAACATTTTATTGATTTACAACAGGGTTGGGGGTGTACAGACATATACAGCACAACTGTAAACTGCAGTAGCAAAGCAAACATTGGTCCATTGAAAACCAGTTATTGCCTCTTCCAGGAGATAACTTTGGATGAGAAGATTTTCCAAGCTTCAACATTCGTGGGTCGAGCTTTTTTTAATTTTTCTGTGGTATGTTCAAAATTAATAACACGGATAAGACATCATCTCCGGAATGATTCCATACAAATGTCAGGACTGAACCATTGCTTTGTAATAGTCTTCTTGGCGGATGTGAATCCAGCGAACAACATTTTGCATTGTATTTGTTTTAAGGAGATTTCAGAGGTATCATTAAGGAGACAAAGACCAGGATTTTGAATATAAAAAACCTCCAGCACCTCAGATAACACAGATTTCACAAAGACCCAAAAATTGGATACAACAGGACAGTCCCAAAACATGTGCAAAAACATGCCTGGTGACGAATCATTGCAGATGTGGCAGTGATACGTAGCCTGTAGTTTCATCTGAAACCTCCTATAGGGTGTAATGTATGTTCTGTGTATGGTTTTGAAATGAATTAATTGATGCGCCAGGTTCTTAGTACTGTGCTAAAGTTTTGAGCTACCCAGCATTTCATTTAGCTTTCAAAGAGCCAGACGTTACGTCTGTGTAGTCATCCAGGTCATGGTAGACTAAGAGTGATGGGAGTTGTAGTTTTGAGTTAGGGAGGAAAGGTCTG